GTGGCGGGAAGGACGGGCGGGGCACTCGGGGCGGGGCTGGCCGGCTCCTGTAGGAAGTCCCGTATTTCATGGAATCTTAGGTGCCGCCGATTTGAAGACGCCGGCTTATTTCTTGTACCCTGAACATACGCGTGGGGCCGAGGCGCGAGCTAGGTCGGTGGCAATAGCGTCTCCGCAGCCCGGCGGGTTTTCGGGGAAACCCTCGCGCGCTTTCGGCCTGCCCCTGAGTGCCTGGCAGGCCCTCCGGGAAGCTTTGGCAGGGATTCCCAGGCCGTGGGCGGGTGCTGGCCCTGCCCTCCCGGCTCGCACCGTCTCGCGGCTGCAGCTCCGCTCTCCTGATATCCGCAGGTTCTCTTTGAACTCCTCCTGCGCGGTGCGAGGGCGCGCACACTAGAGGACGTGAGTGCACAGACAGCCGGGCCTTCCCTCCCAGAGCTTGCGGAGGGGAGGGAGGGTAAGGGAGGGGAGTGGAGGAGGCAGGGGAGCGGAGTGGGGAGGGGGTTGAGGACTGCGAGCTAGGCGTTGGGAGGGAGCCTGGTACGGCCTGGCTATGGGAGGGGCCAAACCAGAGGTGGAGGGCTTACCAGTGGTCGGCAAACTCATTAGTCAACAGCCAAATATCAACAGTACGATTGAAATTTCTTTTGAGAGCCAAATTTATTAAACTTAAACTATATAGGTAGGTACATTGTTACTAACTTAATTAGGGTACTCCTAAGGCTTAGGAAGAGCCGCACTCAAGGGGCCAAAGAGCCACAGTTTGCTGACCACGGCCTTAGGCGTATGGTGCCTGGTGCCTGGTGCCTGGCTAGCGGTGGGGGTTGGCAGCGGGAGGAAGCCCTTCCCAGCCTTTCTGGACTGGGACGGGCGGAGGAAGGAGGCTGGAATGCTTGGCCTGGCTGGAAGCCCACCCCTGAGAGGACAGTTGCTTGTGTCTGTGGAGGAAGCTGAGGGGGCACACACTGCAGCCCCCCATCAGGGTACCCAGGAGGGACAACTTCCCCCAAACAAACTCATTTTAAAATACAAGAGCTAAAATGCATGTTACTTTATTCTAAAATCATTTTCTTCATAATTTCCCAACTTACAGCAATAGAGCTTTGGCAAGATAATCACCGCAGGTGTGAAAACCCCACTCAGTGGAAGCTCCACGTGGCTTCGGGGCAGGGGCCTTGGGGTCTGCACTTGGTTGCTCAGGCTCTTCTGATTCGGGCCAGTGAAGGGGCTCTTCATGCTTTGCCACACCAGGTGGCAAGGGGAGGAGGGCAGTCAGGATTGCTGTGAGGCGCAGACACACCTCACAATGTGCTGGGGTTTAAGGGTCTAGATCCCTAAGAAAGGTGGGAAATCCATGATGCTGGCATTATGTCCAGGGAAGCACCAGCATCCGCTGTCCCATGGGCGGGGGAGGCCTGGGCTCTGGAGGATCCAGGTCAGGGCGGCCCTCTGCCTCCTCCCCCGCCATGTGGTGTGGTGCAGGGAGGTGGGGCTGGGGTGCCCCCTCTGGGCAGCACCAAGGGGTTCAACACAGGATTGGCACAGCCTCTCTTGCTTGGCACTGGGGCTGAAGTGCTGAGGGGACAGCTAAGGGCATCCGTGGCGAGTCATGCCCTCTGGGTCCAGGGATGGAGGCCAGGCTCTGAACAAGGCCAGTCCTAAGGTGGTAAGAGCCAAGTGGGAGGATGAGACAGGTGGGCAAACTGAGAGCTGTAGGCAGCGCAGCATTCAGCTCAGGTTGATGTAGGGCCTCAGGCTCAAGGCAGCAGAATCAGGTAGGCCGGGAGGAGGGCAGTTGAGGCTCCTCCAGTGTGGAAACCAGACCCTTCCTACCCCCGGCACTTGCAGGGCCCGTGGGAGGCGTGGGCCTGCCTGAGCCTGCACAGGAGCTAGTGGGGCCAGGAGCACTTCTCAGGAACAGACTCCGGGGGCGTCAGGCACTTCCCTAACTTTTCACAGCCTGGAGGTGCCCAGTTCTGGAAAATGAAAATTCGGAAAGAGAATGTGCAGTTATTCTACACACTTATGTACTCAGCAGTTTCTAGACTCCTCCCCTGCCCAGGCCCTGGCCTGAGAACCTCTGTTATCCAAGGGGACGGTCTGCTAACCGCCTCAATCCCCTGGCCATGTTCCAAGTAGAGCAAATGCCAGGACCTGCGCACCCCCCGCTGTGACAGAGAAGAAGCTCCACACTCCAGCGAGGGCCAGGCTTCATACATCTCACGACTTCCCACCCAAAGCTCTTTGTCAGGAACCCTTTCTCCAGAGAAGAGCTGGCTGTTCAAGGTCCAAGACGGGCTGCATGGGACTGGTCTTCTTGTCAGAGTGACCAGAGAACACCACACTGAGTCCTCACCTGGGCTGGCCTGGAAGTGCAGGGGGCCCAGAGGTGAGCTAGAGGGTAGAAGTGTGTGTATGGGGGGGGGGGTTC